TCAACAAGACTCGTTCGCGCAAAGCTGCCAATCGATCTTCCCAGTGCGAGGCATGTTGCGTCCATAACGTTTCTTGCCGCCCTTGTCGGTCTTCTTGCCCTTGTCGAGAAGCTTCTGTGCCAGCTGTTTCAGGTGCCCCTGAAGCGCTGCTCCGAGCTTCATGCGACCGCCACGGCAACTAGGCAGTTCACCATTGCCTGCTCGATCTCCAAATTGCTCATCGCCACCTCCTCCTCGGTGCCCACCTTGGGAATTGTCAGGCCGTCCGAGATCGCGAACTGGATCCGCGTATACTCCTCGTTGTAGCACTTGCGCAGTCGGAAGTGTCTGATCATCAAGCCAAGTTCCATCGCGTTCGCTCCTGATACGTGCTTCGTGTAGAAGGTGTGCACCGACTGGTGCGATGCTGCCTCTCTCTGCTGGATCTCCGCTGACTCCGAGAGGGATCTGAACGCGGCGCGCGCGATGTACAAATGAGGGGGGCCCAGGTCTGCCTTTGCCGCTGGTATCGCTGCCACCTGCGCGTACTGCTTGCCCGTGTCCTTTCCCACCTTCACGATGTCCGTCTCCGTCGGCGTCACGACGCTGATCCACTCCGATGCCGCCATGTCCCTGAGTAGCCGTGCGTGCTGGCAAGCCATCTTGAGCACGATGTTGAGGGCTGATTGGATGTCTCGCGCTGTTAGGGCTCCCTCTACTGCAGCCAGGCCGTCGTGCAGGAGGAGGAGGGGGAGGAGGAACCGGAGGCCCACCTCGCCCGCGAGCGAGGAGGGGGTGGAGGCAGCGGCGGCCTCCACCGCGTGCTCCCTTCCCGGGGCGGGGCGAGCCCGAGCAGCCCCCCTGCCGAGATACGTGGCGTATTGGGCCTCCGTCCTCACGATCCTCGCGGGGCTCTCCTGCACGATCCAGGGCGGCCTCGGGCAGCACCCAGGCCGCCCGGCTCTCCCCAGGTCTCCGCCTCCTCCCCCTTTTTCTCCCTCGATCCCTCCTCCTCCTCCTCCTCCTCCTCCTCCTCCTCCTCCTCCTCCTCCTCCTCCTCCCCCTCCCTTTCCTCCTCCTCGTCCTCTCCTCCTCCTGCCCCTCCTTCTCCTCCTGCTTTTCCTGCTCCTCCTCTCTCCCTCCCTCCCTCTCTCGCTCCCTCCCTTTCTCTCTCGCTCCCTCCCTCACTCCCAGCGTTGTTCCTCGGTTTCGGCTTCCCGAGGCCCCTGATCGGGTCCGGGATTCGCCAGGAGTGGATCTGGCCGGGACGAAAGACTTTTTCACCACCCACCAAACCACCCCAACCCAACCCGAAGGCCCCATTGTGCCCTCCATTTCCTGTGGGGGGGGGTCGGGGAAAACGGAACAAAACACATGGAACCCGTACCCCCCCAACCCGAAATTCGGGTCAAATTCGGGTTTTCGGGTTGGGTTGGGGTGGTTTGGAAGGTAGTCATTTTTGTAGGCCGTGCGTGGGACAATCACATCGCCAGATGTCAGGGCTTTTCGGGGTCGAGGGCCCCTCGAAAAAGCTTGCTGGCCGCCGTGGGACGGGCGCCCCGGATCGCCGAACAGATGCTTGACGTGTCGCGCATCCCCCACCAGCCCATCTAGAATTTAGTCGGGCCTGTCCCACTACAGGAGGAATATCCAAAAATACTAAAAAAATAGTCTGGGTACGAGTTTTCGCAATTTTTGCATATCTTTGTGAGTTTGTTTGACTTTTCGTCCAACTCCCCGTGTAGGGTGACATGCCCGACCTAATGCTTGACGCTTCGCGCATTCCCCATCAGCCCATCTAGAAACAGACCACCAGGCGAGTTGCGTTGTGATCGTTTTCTCATTCATTGTTTTGCCGATCGGCGCGGGCCCTCGCAACCCCCGCCCTCCACCCCCCATGGAGTAGATCTTGGCTGGTTTCGGCGCCTGTTCAGAGCAGGCGGAGTCTCCCCCACAGGACGCACTGTTGCAAACAGTCGCATTAAGCACAGGTCCGGAGCCAGATCCCCTCCCCCTCCCCCCCCTTCCGCCAAATGTCGAAACGCCGAATGAGATAACGCTCACCTTCACAAGGGAAGTGTAGAAGAGTGCAGTGTAACAGCCTCCTTGGAAGGTCCTTTCTCGGAGGTCTCTTGGAGCCATCTTGGGCTCTCTTGGGGTCCTCTCTTGGGGTCAAAGAGTCTTGGACCCAAGATGGTCACCAAGAGTCTTGGAGCCATCTTGGGTCTCTCTTGGGGCCCTCGCGAAGCCACTCGGGGCACAGGCGCCCCCGATCGCGGCAAGAATTCTGCCACACCGCTCACCGCCCGCCAACTTCCGGGGGGTCTCTGCTCTGCCTTCGCTCCCTCGGGACCGTACCGCCCTCGCGGCCTTGCCCGGGCTCCCCCGCGCGATCCCGAGGGGCTGCATGCAAGCTAGGTGCGCTCGCGTCATGTTTGACGTCCTACCCCTCCCTCCCATCCCTTACCATGGCGCAGATCTCCTTCCTGTTCGCACAATCGGATGTCGCAGCATGGCGTAGCATTACATGGCATAGCATGTTGTTAAATATTAGCGCGTAGCATGACATAGTATGGCGTGGCGACGCCCCCAAATGAGGGGGGGCTATTGCGGCGCAAAATATCAAATAATCGACACCGACTGTGTAATCACTTCCGATGTTTTTTTCGGGGGGGCATTTTTTAGATTTTGGGGTCTATTTGGAAGGATCGAAAACCAGCGGGAGCACGATTCGGAACGACCGGAAGCGCGGAAATGTGGCCAGCGCTGCAGCAGGAGCACGATTCGGAACGAGCGGTAGCCCGAAAATGAGGCCAGCGCTTCAGCGAGAGCAGCATTTTGAAAAAAACCCAAACGCGGAAATGAGGACACGTAGCCTGACATAGCATGGCGTGGCGACGCCCCAAAAGTGGGGGGGGAGGCTTCTGCGGCGCAAAAAGTGAACGAAGCGGCACCGAATGCGTAATCACTTCGATGGTTTTTTCGGGGGGGCATTTTTTAGATTTTGGGCTTATTTGGAAGGATCTAAAACCATGCCGTGGCATGGCGCTGGAAATAATGACGCCAGTGCTGCAGCGGGAGCACGATTCGGAACGACCGGAAGCGCGGAAGAGAGGCCAGCGCTTCAGCGAGAGCAGCATTTCGAACAAAAACTTAAGCGAAAATCCGTTTCCAGGAAATCTGGTGTGTAAAAAAACAGTACGCGGAGGGGGGCCGGCCATTTCCCGGACGCCACCAGGAGAGAGAGGAGAGTAGTATTCATATTGTTTAATTGTTAAGGTCCTGTGCCCAGTCCCTCCCGGATAGGGGCGGCCTCTCCGTAGAATTTGTTTGGCATCCTCGAACCGTTTTCGGGTCCGCGGGTCATTAGAAGTAGATGGGACAAGCGCGGGCCTATATGAGGGGGGTGGTGGTGTTCTGAGGGGGGGGGTCCGAACTGCCTCCCCCCTTTTGCCCCCCCCCTCTCCTCCTCTCCCTCTCTGCGTGTTTCCCACCCCCCTTCCCTCCCATCTGGCCACGGTGCATGCGCAGCTGTGGGGGGCGGGGGGAAACAGGCAGAAGGGGGGGTGAGGAAGGGAGGGGGAAACAGGCATAGAGAGGGTGGGGGGAGGCGCCCTCCGAACAGGCATCTGGGCGGAGGGGGGGGGGGGGGCGAGGACGTGACCACGCCGTCTGCGCAGGCGCCCCGGGCCATGCCCTCTGGACAGGCCCCCCTCTTCGTCCGCCCCCTCGCCCCCTGGGTCCTCATCCTCCTGCTCCCCCCCTCCTTCCTCCTGCTCCACCCTCCCTCCCTCCCTCCCTCCCTCCCTCCCTCCTCCCGCCCGACGCCAGGCGCTCTGACGAGCCCGGGCGGCACGGCGGGGGCCCTCAAGTCGCCGCTGCTGCCCGGGGCCGTGCCCGAGCCCGAGGCCGAGCCCGCCGCGGGCCGCGGCTGCGGCAGGAGGGCGGCGCCCTCCTGCCGGGGCGGCTGCGACGGAGGAACGTCCGGCAGCAAGTCGTGGGAGCCCCCCGGTGCACAGCCACAGCCAGCCCGCCTGCCGGCAGGTTCGCGTCGCGTCGACCGGCGGCGACGCCGCCGCCAGCGCTCAACGTGGAGCGCCGCCGGCGACCCAGAATCGGTCGATGTTGAACGATCCTGTCGTTTCGGGAGCGACCGGTCGTTCAAGGTTGGACGATCCCCGCGATGTCGGCAACCAACGCTGGGGTCGTCACGACACGGACCTGCCGTAGTAAGGATGGGCAACCTTCCCAAGGGTACCCTTGCATCCTTGCCCCTTCGGCCCATATTTAGAGCAACTTTCGCTGGCCAGCCTCGCTCGAGAAACGTCAAGATGGCCCTCCAAGGCCCTTGCATCCTTACTGCGCATCCTTATGATACGGGTTGACCGCTCCCTGTTAATTCCGTCTTTAGCGTGGGTTCGCGTCGATTCGCGTTTGGGAGTCGATGAGATAGCGCCGATTTAAAGTCGGTCAGCGTCGACTTAGCGTCGATGTAGCGTCGAATTTGCGTCGATTAGCGTCGACTAGCGTCCATTAGCGTCGATTCGCAAGAGCTGACACGATAGTTTGGAAGGCTCTCACGGGTTGCCACCGAAGAGGAACGGGGCCCCCGGCAGAGGGGGGCGCCTGACGCCCAGGCCGCCCAAACTCTAGGCCTCCCAGATGGGGTCGGAGTAGATGGGGTCAGATGATGTCGACTACGCGTAGGAGTGACCCTTAGCCGGAGGGACCTTCGGTGCGGGCTCACAAGGGGCCCCCCCCCGATCGCTGATCGCGATCCGATAGCGGCTGCTTGCGCCTTTGGATTTGGCCACCTTGCGCCCCCTTAATCCGCGCGCTAAAGGTCACTCCTGCCTAGGGTCACTCTTGCGTGTAGCCGAGGATGGCGCCGCATCGCCGATGCATCGCTGATGCGGCTCGATGAGTACCTCGTTTTTCGCCACGCCGACGTTGCCGATGCATCGCCGATGCATCGCCGATGTCGTCGTTGCATCGCCGATGCATCGGCGACGCGGCGCGATCCTCCAACCCCATCCACTTGGACCCCATCTAGGAGGCCTCTACTGACGCTCAGGCCGCCCAAACGGGGCCGGTGGATCTCCAAGAGGAGAACGCTGTATGAGCTCGGAGGCCTGGAGGTTGGCACGAGCACTAGTTGCGGCGGTTGACTCCCCCGACGGAAGATGATTCTGCTCTCGGTGATGGGGTACTGATCCTGATCTCGGTGCTGGTGGTAATGCTCAGGCTTCTCAGGTGGCCGAGAGGATACCACGAGCATCACAATCCAGGGTCACCTCCCCCCGGTGGAGGCACCCCCTTGTGCTGGTGTTGGTGCCAATTTCCAGTCCCTCAGGTGAACATGAACTTTCGAAGCTCCGCGTGGATCTCTTGAAGCGGTGCTGAGCCCCGCTGCCAAGGGGGGGGCCCAGGGCGGATCCAAGAAATCCGCGCGGACCTCCGAAAGTTTATGTTACGCAATGTTCTTCTTCAACAAAGTGGGGCCGGAGTCGATTGGGTCGGTGGATCACGTCGTATCACCGACGCATCGCCGATGCGGCGCGATCCGAAGCCCGACTTTGTTAATCCCGACGTCGCCAGTTCATCGCCGGCGCATCGGCGATGCAGCGCAATCTACCGACCCAAGCTACTCTGGCCCCATTTGAGCGGCCTCCACTGATGGCTGGCTGTGGAGGGGGCAGG